TGTTAATTTTCTAGATATTTGTAGAACTTAAGTTATGTGTTATGCTATCCTTTTTTTCTTGTGTGTGTGTGTGTGTGTGTTTAAGTCTGCTTCAATACACGTTATTCTAAAGTCTAAAGTGCCCAGCCAGTGTTTCATATACCTTTTGGCCATGATTCACAGTGAGAAATAAATTTTATTTTGTGGCTTCAGGACATATATACACTATATAGAAATGACGACTGTTTTGCAAAAACAGTACTTATTACATGCAGTGTACTCTGGCACATTCCACTATATTTTAATGAATTGTCATTAACAGTTTGAAAGACATTGACCTTAGACATTTAGTTTTTGAACTTTTGTATGCACTTAGGGAATAACACAAAGATTAGAGATGTTCAGTGTGAAGCCTCAGGTCACACTGTCATTGCATCTCAGCCAATAGAGCTCACTTGATTAAGTCTTGACTTGTTCTGCCTTGATAGCAGATCAGATCTAGAGGCAGAAATTAAGTGGGGAAAGTTTCTCTGACTTTCCAACCCAGAACAGAGGTAACTGAATTTGGCTGCTAGTTGTTTGTTTGGGTACCAGGTATTGAGCCACATCCCTGACCTTGTTTTGTATTTTATTTAGAGACAGGGTCTCACTGAGTTGCTCAGCACCTTGCTTTTGCTGAGGCTGGCTTTGAACTCATGATCCTCCTGCCTCAGCCTCAGGGGCTGCTGGCACCCAACTGCTGGTTTGTTTTTAACGTAACAAACCTTAAAAAATTGAAAGATAAAAAGTACAGCTAAAAATTTCTTTTTATAGCTACGAGAAAAATATAGTTTAGGTAATCCTTTTGTATTATATAGAGTAAGTCTTTTAAAACACTGGTGAAATGATTTATTAAACCAGCATTGAAAGAAATTAAGGATAAAAAATTGCACTCATTTCTCTACTATGATAATATAGTAGTTCTGTCCCCCTCCCTTTTTTATCCATATATACCAATATTTTTTACATAACTGTGCTTCTTGTTTATATAGTTTTTTTTGTTGTTGCTCATTTAATACTGTTCTGTATTTTTTTCCTGTTTGATAGTCTTTATAATTTGAATTATTAATATTACCCTAATATTTCAGAGTGAGTCAGCCTAACTAAACCAACAGATGATTTATTTCCAGTTATAAAAATAATGCTGCAAAGTGTTGATTACTTAAAATCCTTTATATAACTTTTTGTCTTCCATTCATTGGGTTAAGAGGAAGCCTAATAGGTAGGCCAGGGACCTGGATCTGGACTGGGAATTTTTGCCCCACTTATGTTTGAATTTGGCCTTCCAGTTTCTGTATGCTAGAGCAACAGTGATCAACTGTGGTGTTCTTTATACATATGAGTTAGGCTGAATGTATTTTTTCCACTAATAAGTATAGACATTTTCAACATGATTTACTTTTAAAAAAGCGTGAATCATAGCAGGTCCAGGCAGATTCAAGTGCCATAATAACACTCACACTGATTAAATTTCTTTCTGACTATCTTTTCCAAAGGTTATTTGAATGTGTATTATTTTTTAATATAAAATATTTTATAAAGCAGCCAATTAAATTGATTAGAAGAATAAAAGTTATAATTGATCTATATTAGCACATCTCCCTCTTCAAAGCACACATATTGTCTTACTTTCTGTCATTTTCAAACATTAAGTAGTCCTTTTTGTGTGGGGTGGGTGATGCAGTGGGGGGGGAGATACTGGGGATTGAACCCAGGGATGCTTTGCCACTGAGCTACAACCCCAGCTCTTTTTAGTTTTTATTTTGAGACAGGGTCTCACTAAGGCCTCAATAAGTTGCTTAAGGTGTCAATAAGTTGCTGAGGTTGGCCTTGAACTTGGAATCCTCCTATCCTCAGTCCCCCTAGTGCTGGAATTATAGGCTTGTACCACCACTGTGCTGGGCATGCTGGGCTAGTAGTTCCTCTTTTTTAAAAGTATGAAATACTTCAAAGAAAAAAACACAGAGACCATTTTAACACCCACCAAAGATTTAACAACTTTAAAAATTTGCTATATTTTTCTTAGATGATGATTTTTTTTTTTTTAGGTGCTGGAGATTGAACCCAAGGCCTCGCTTATACTAAGCATGGATTCTACCAGTGAGCTACACCTGCAGTTCCTTGTTTGTTTGTTTTTTTAAGAACTAAAACATTATAGCAACTACTTAATATCACTTCCCAGTCTCATTTCCTTCCCATTGCAGTGATAATTGTATTTATGTAGTTAGTATATATTTTCCAGTGTGTGTTTATAAGTTCACTATGATGGGCCCATAAATGATTTGTAATATTTTTGTGTCTCCAAGGTTTACATAAATGGCATACTGTACTTATTCTTCTGCAACTTTTTATGGTCAATATTGGTTTTGAGATTTAAATGCAAGTAGCTATTTTTATTGCTATATAGTATTCCATTGTATGACTATACTATTTTTTTTAAATTTATTTTTAGTGCATTATAGATATATCTAACAGTGAGGTTCATTTTGACATATCCATTAATGCATTTAATGTAGTTTTATCCACTTCAGTCTCAAATACTTCCCCCTTCTCTGCCCTTCTCCCTTCACTGATCCCCTTCCTCTACCCTATTGGTCTTCCGTTTATGTGTTTATTTATTTATTTTTTTTTAAATATTTTTTAGTTGTAGTTGGACACAATACCTTTATTTTATTTATTCATTTTTATGTGGGGCTGAGGATTGAACCCAGCGTCTCACATGTGCTAGGCGAGCGCTCTACCACTGAGCCGCAACCCCAGCCTGTTATGTGTTTATTTTTTAATTGATAAATTATAGTTGTATACAAAACTGGAATATATTGTAGTATAGTCATACTTGTACCTAATATAATTTGGTCAACTTCATTCCTCATTTTTCCCCTTTCCCTTCCCTCTTTCTTCCCCCTTGGTCCCCATGCTTCCACTCTACTGGTTTTCCCTTCTTTTCTTGTGAGATCCCCCTTTTTATTTCTCTTTTTCTCTTTAGTTTCTGCATATGGGAGAAAACATTCAATCCTTGACTTTCTGAGTCTGGTTTATTTCACTTAGCATTATGTTCTTCTGTTCCATTTATTTACCAGCAAATGTTATGATTTTATTCTTCTTTATAGCTGAGTAAAACTCTCTGTGTGGGTATGATATACATCATATAATATACATCACACACACATATATGCACACACAAATACATTTTCTTTTTCTTTATCTATTTGTCTATTGGTGGGCACCCAGGTTGGTTCTATAACTTGGCGATTGTGGATTGTGCTACTGTACATATTGCTATGCATGTATCACTATAGTGTGCTGATTTAAGTTCTTTTAGATAAATACCAAGAAGTGGGATAGCTGGGTCATATGGTGATTCTATTCCTAGTCTTTTGAGGAATCTCCATATTCCTTTCCAAAATGGTTGTACTAATTTGCAGTCCCACCAACAATGTATATGTGTACATTTATCCCCACATCCTTGCCAGCAGTTATTTGTGTTCTTGATGATTAGAACTGACTAGAGTGAGAAGGTGGGATAAAATCTTAGTGTAGTTTTGATTTGCTTAACATGCAAAGCTATAGTTTTGTTAATTTTAAGATTCTATAGTTAGGATGTTTGGATAAGTAGAAGCTACTAGAAGAGGACTAGAGGTTGACAGGAAGAACTCAACAAGGCAAAGACAGCTTTTCTACTGATAGCCACAGATTTTGAGTATAGGCCTGTTTTCTAATTTTAAATAAGATAGTGATATGCAGAGGAATGCTAAAGTGTACTAAGATCCTGTTTGTTAAAAAGGATAGAGAATACTAATTGACTTCAGGCTTTGTTAGAAGAACATGAATTTTTGCCTGTATCCTTAAATAATTCAAGAGAACTCACACAAATTAATATTATTAAAATATATAACTTGTAAACCTGGTGAAAATTAAGGGAATTAAGAAAATTCCATCAATCCAGATATGCAAAAAAGATAAAAAATGCATAGAGTATGGCAAATACAAAACACAATGTAAGATGGAAGAAAAACCCTATTATATTATTCACAATAAAACCAAATAAGTTAAACTTGTCATATTGGTTTGAATAATTTCAGTTCTGTGTGCTATTTACAAAAACTACACTTAAAATGACACAGAAAAGTTGATTGGAAGAGGATACACTAGGCAAATACCAACCAAAATAAAAATGATGAGGCAATATTAATGTTAGACAAAATATACTTTAAGGCAATTTAATAATAAATAGGCACTTTGTTTCGGTGTATAGAAGAAAATCTACCAAGAGACTATCAACCATGAACTTCAATATATGCTCCCAACAACATAGTCTTGAAATATACAAAGCAGAACAATAGAATTATAATTAGAAATTGATCATTCATAATAACAATGTGAGTCTTTTAAAAACACCTTTGTCAGAAACTAGTTAAGCAAAATAGATTTAAAAAATAAACAAGAATATGAACAATTTAAAATTTAAATTAGATGAAAAGAAGCATATAATGTTATGTGAGACATGTAATATAATATTATAATTTATAAAAACATAACATGTGCAACCTAGGAGGGTGGTGCATTTGGGAATACAAAATTAAATACAAGTGCTTTTTGTTCTGCTCAATATGCTTCCCTGTCTGTATACCTTCCAGGACTGAATTACTACACTTGAAATCATCATTTGGAGCTCATATTTTAAAAACTTTAAGATGTGTACATGACTTAGAAATAAGTATGTTGTAACTAATACATTCAGTATTGTACTTTAGACTTATTCTTGGGAAGGCTTTTCATTATAACCTTGATACTAATACTATTCAAGTTATTATTTCTCATTAATTTTAAGTGGTATACATAAATTTCATATTTTAACATTTTTGAAATGGAAATGAGCCTGCCAGTTGATAGTGTCTTTTGGCTAGGTGGTAGCTGTGACATGATAATTGTTCTTGCATGCACAAGTGATATGAAAATGTCTACACTCAAAACTTGTATGATGAACAGCTGGGGTGAAAATTCCCTGAGACAATGTGGAATCATCTTTAACTCCAAGAAACCGGTAATTGTGGGGAAGAGAATGGAGAAGGTGGTAAATTAGATTTAGTTATCAATATGATGAAATGAAGACAAAAGGTGACTTACGTATACATTTGCAAAACCAGCTTAAGAGAATAGCAAAAATGACTTTCTTTTTCTTTTTTAAAGAAAAGCTGCTTCAATCATGTTCTTGGTGACTTAGGAGACATCCAAGAAATTGGATTTGCAAAATGGATTAGGAATATGAAGTCTAGAGATAACTTAACCAAGTTACTTGGCTTATGCTTTTTTAAAATGTATGCATGTTTGATTAAATTCTATGCTGACAATAAAAATTATTTTGAAAAGCATAAAAAATTAAGTGATAAGGAATTATGACAGGTTGATATTTTTTCCCTTCCTTTCTTAGTAGTACACAAAATAATAAGACTCAGCTTTGTTGAAATATTTTTGAAACTGATTACTTAAAATTACTTTTCCCAGCTATTGTGTAAATATTAATTTTGGGCACATCTGATTCCATTAATCTTGACTAGGATAGGGTTATAAATTCACAGTGATTTTCCCATAACACTTTAAGATATTTTTTCTATTGTTTTCTAAGATTTATTGTTGATAATGAAGAAGCTGATGTCAATCTGGCTGTTACTACTTATTAGGTATTTTTTTGTCTTTGATAACTTTCAGATTTTTTCCCTATATTTAATATTCCAGTTTTTAAATATATTGTATGTAAGGAGATATGTGTGTTTGTTTGGTAGTGGTGAAGGGTTGCTTGCTTGCACTTGGTGACCTTTTTAATCTGAGAACTCATTTTCAGTTCTAGCAAATTCACTTATAAACCCTTTGAATATTGTTTCTGCCATTCCATTTTTCCTTCTATATTCCTTCCTGATATATATTGGACCATCTCTTTCCCCTTCCTTCCTTCCTTCCTTCCTTCCTTCCTTCTTTCTTTCTTTCCCATACTTTTATCTGCCCTGTGATCTGACAGTTTCTTACAGTTCACTGATTTTTTTTTCTTTTCAATTGTGGCTAGCCTATTATTTAAGTCTATTTCTTGAGCCTCTTTCTTTCTTTCTCCCCCATCCCCAGTACTGGGCATTGATTTCAGGGGTGCTGTGCTGCTGAGATACATCCCCATCCCTTCTTATTTTTTGAGACAAGGTCTTACTAAGTTGCTTAGAGTCTAAGTTGCCAAGGCTGGCCTTGAACTTGTGATTCTCCTGCCTCAGGCTCCGAGTTGCTGGGATTACAAACATGCTAAACCTCTTTATTTGTAATACTAAAATCCATTTCTTGGATTTTTCTTGACTCTTTTTAACATTTGCGTATTTGTTTTATGGGTGCTGTTTTTTATCTTGAGTTCGTTAAACATATTAAACATTTTAATGTGCCATTCAGATCACTCTATTATCTCTAATTCCTTAGAAGAGAGTTCTCTCATTTTTAGTATCTTAAGATGGCTTAAATGTTTTATCATTCTTGTCTATAAGTTTATCTTCTTGGGGCTTTTTTTTTTTTTTTTGACCAAGTGTGACCTAGGAAGTGGACACATCTCTATTGAGTGATATCATGGGTAACCTGCCTGGACTCTGGAGGTTTCATCTATTCCTAACCAGTTTTCATGTTAACATCTTAGCTTGAAGTTTTCATACCACAAAGGTAAATTGAATTCAGGCCATTTTTGTATATGTTCTGCATTGGCTTGGGGTTCCCACATGTCTCCCCAGTCTTTTCCACTCTCCTATAGATGTTTCCCAGATGTAAGCTTCACTAAGTTTCTGCTCATTGAAGAGCCAGTAGCTTTACCCTGTGGCTTTAAACATACTCGGTTCAGCATTTTATTTTCAGGTGTTAGGGCACATATCTCTTTCAGGTCTTCTGCTTTGACTCCAGCTGCTAGATAATTCTTTTTAGAAAAATCTTTGCTTTGCAATTAAAAATGTTTTTATTAAATGATTTCTTTTTAAAAATATTTATTTTTTTAGTTGTAGTTGAACGCAATACCTTTATTTCATTAATTAATTTATTTTATGTGGTGCTGAGGATCGAACCCAGGGCCTCAGACATGCTAAAGCAAATGCTCTACTGCTGAGCCATAACCTCAGCCCCTTATTAAATGATTTCTAACTGGTATTTTTAGAAATTTGGAATGACAGGATGTGATTCCAGTGTGGATTGCATTTGTGATATTCAATTGGAGGTCTCCTTGAGACCTCTAAAATTTTTTTCTTCCATTCCTCTTACCCCCTTTTAGGGTTTGGAGTCATGAGCAGGTTTAATTATGGAGAAACTGGTACCCCTACAGGTAGGTTCACTTTTGACTCTGCAGAGACAACCATCACCACTACAACCACAGGGTTTACTTTCTCTACACCCGATATAGGTAGGTTTAATTTTGGGACTCCATCCCAACTGGTTGTAAGTAAATCTTCATATTCCATCAGCCTGTTCTCATTCAATAATCCAGCTCCAGCAAAATAGACTACAGGATTCAGCTTTGGAACACCAGTTGCATCAACTCCTGTCCCACTAGGAACTGGATTTGCCTTAGGGTAAGAGTAAACAGTTTCTGATTCTTTTAGGAACTACAAAAGGACTGTGTCTCAAACACAGATTTTCCATTTAGAGCTTAGACAGGATGATGAAATAGTATGGCATTTCTTAAGCAATTATTTGAAATTATGCCACTTATTCCCAAGAAAGTCTTAAACAATGTAGTCATCTTGGAGTTGAGGCACAAAGGACATTGAATTATGATCTGTGGTCTCCCGTCATTTCGTGTGAGCCATAGACAGGAAATACACATTGAATTTTGGATATATATCATCTGGAAATTAAGCTGCTTATTTAGTATTTCTCAAGAGAGATATTCATCTATTGATTATGGTACTGATCTTGATTATACAGTTCCCCCTCTTGCATCTCAGAATTTTAAGGGAGGCACTCTTCTAATCTAATGCCTTCAAGGTAAATCTATTTGGATCCATGTCTTTCAGTAATACCTGATGACCATATGAAAGCTGAGGCCTTACCTCTGGAATTGTTCCCTATTCTGTTATAGCTATCTAATAACTTGTAATTGAGTGCTAAATAATCTTTTTTAAGAGGGATACCTTAAATATTGAAGCATTTTGCCGTGGGTCATGAAATACATTTAAAATTTCTTAGAAATTGTATTAAAGAGATGCTTGTTTGTGTGATTCTGTGTCTGAAACAAAAACGTATGTTGTTTAATGTAAAGTCTGCTAGACTGTCAGAAAGAAGAAGTATAGGGCTAGGAATATAGCTCAGTTGGTAGAGTGCTTGCCTCACATGCACAAGGCCCTGATATTAAAAAGCAACTGTGAAACAAATATTTGAGTCTTGGCTTTGCCATTTACTACTTCTATGATTATGAGCAGGTTATTTAACTCCTCAGTGCTTAAATTAATGTAGGTAAAATGCTTAGAACCGTTTCTGGTATGTAGTGGTCACTTAATATGTGTTAGCTCTTATTGTTGTTTTATGAAAATGTACATTTCCCTGCAGTGTTGCATATGTTGGATATTATCCTTTTTTATGCGTGTTCTTGAAGTAGATGGTTTAACAGTGAAAATAGCATTGTCATAATCTTTTTTTTTTTTTTTTCTGTTTCAGTACTAGGGATTGAATCCAGGTGTATTCTGCCACTGAGCTATGTCCCTAGCTCTTTTTTTTTTTTATTATAGTCAAGGGTCTCACTAAAGTATTCAGAATGTCCTCAAACTTGTGATTCTCCTGCCTCAGCCTCTCGAATCTCTGGGACTATAGGCGAGTGCTACCATGCCCAGCTCATCATCTTTATTTAAATTTTTTGATTAGCAATAAGGCAGAATTCAAGTTTTTAATTGATAAACCATATTTGTGTGTGTGTGTGTGTGTGTGTGTGTGTGAGAGAGAGAGAGAGAGAGAGAGATTGCCTTTTTATGTCCTTTGCTCAAATTTCTAATATGATGCTTATATTTTCTCCATTGATATTTAATTGCAATGCTTTAACCCTTTGATATTTGTATAAGCATTATTTTTAGAGTTTTATAAGTATCTAAAATATTATAACTTTTAAATTAAGAATTTATTTTGACATAATTGTAGATAATCTTACAGGTAAAAAATAATACAGAGAGATCCCACATACCCTTTGCACTGTTTTTCTACTGGTATTATTTAGCATAACTATAGTACAGTATCACCACCAGGATATTAATATTTATAGAATCAAAATATAGAATCTCTGTCACTACAAGGATCCCTCCTTCATTTTATCCTTTTATACCAGCATCTACTTTTTTCTGTTCCACCCACTTTTTAACCTGGCAACCATTAATTTGATCTCCATTACTAAAATTGTCATTTCAAAAGTGTTATATATTTTGATCCGCAGGAACACATACATAAACACAAAGTTATGTGCATGAACCATACATTATATAATCTTTGGGGAATGATTTTTTTCAATCAGTGTAATTTTATGGAGATCCCCAGATTATTACGTGTATCAATCCTTTGTTTCTTTTTATTGCTGCATACTGTTGTGTGAAGGTACTGCAAGTTGCTTAAGCATTTGCCAGTTGCCTTAGTCCATTTTGTGCTGTTGTAACAGAATATATGGGACTGGGTAATTTTTTGGAGTATTTGGGATCAAACCCACTTGCTATGTAAGTGCTCTACCACTCAGCTACACACTCAATCCTTTTTATTTTTATTTTTTTTTTTAATTTTGAAACATGCTCTTATGAAGTTGTCCAGACCGACCTCAAATTTGCAATCCTCCTGCCCAAGCCTCCAAAGTAGCTGAGATTATAGGTGAGTGCTACTGTACCTGGCCCAGACTACATAACTTATAATGAATTCATTTCCAATAGTTCTGGAGGCTGGGAAGTCCAGGGGCCTACATCTGACCAGGGCCTTCATGCTGTATCATTCAGTGGCAGAAGGTATCATGTGAGCAAGAGGCAGGGTGCAAATTCACCCATTCATAATGAACCCACTCCCATAAACATGATGTTAATAAATTCATGAGGATAGCACCTTCATGATCTAATCACATCTTTAAGATTCTTCCTCTTAACACTTTCACATTGGAGATAAATTTCTAACCCTTGAAATTTGGAGCACACATTCAAACTATGGCACCCATGGCTGAATATTTGTATTGTTTCTACTTTTTGACTATTACAAATAAAGCTGAAGTATTTGTGTTCAGGTTTGGGGTTTTTTTTCTTTTGCTTTTTGGGTTTTGGTGAACATAAATCTTCATTTTTCTGAGATGAATACCTAGAATTGCAATTGCTAGGTCATGTGTTAATTGAATATTCAGTTTTATAAGAAATTGCAGAATTGTTTCCAAGATTGGCTAGACCACTTTACAAATGCACAGGCAATGTATATATGATCCAGTTTCTCTGCATCCTAGCTACCATTTGGTGTTATCTCTATTTTTAAATTTTAGCCTCCTATAGATAATGATACCATATTGTGGTTTTAGTTTGCAATTTCCCTGATGGCTAATGATGGTGAACATCTTTTTCAGTGATAATCTCTCATCTGTATATCTTGTCTGTTCATGACTTTTTTCAGTAAGAAAAAAAGTATCCAAAATACCACTGTATTTTATGGGTCCTTTTTACATAGAGATTTGTGTAATGCAAGTTGATAATATGATTATATAAAAAGTAGAAATGCTGTTCATGTAGGGTTTTTTCTAATGTTTAATTTTTATTTTATTGATTTTTAAAGAGTCAACTCTAAAAATCAATCACATATTTTTTCCTATTTTTTTAAATTTCATTGATCTCTGCTCTTTATTTTCTTTCTTACACTGCTTTGAGCCTTATTTTTGCTATTTCTTTTCTAGGTTCTTGTTTAGGAAGTTTGATTATTGATTCTACTTTTCTAATTTTGACATTTATGCCATAATTTCACTATCAGCATTTTTAACTAAATCCCAGAATTTAATAAAAATTTTAAATTAAAAAACATTTATTTTAATAGGCATAGTGTATATGAATGCATATATAGGTAAATATAAATTCATGTAAATATTCAAACTGTCAGAAAACACAGTTAAACAAAAAGTATAGAAAATGGCTATAATCTTACTTGCCTACTATTTTTAAACATCTTGGTAGGTACACTGCCTGGCTCTTGAAGATGAGTACATATACATATATTCAGTAAACAGAATCACATACTCTTTCATGATGAGTCCCACAAATTTTAATATATTTTAATTTTCATTCAATTTTCTTTATTTTTATTTCCCTTTAGTCTTCCACTTTGATCTATCAGTTATTTAGTAGTATATTTGGTTTCCAAATGTTCAGAGATCTCCCTGTTTCCCTTTGGTTATTGATATGTAGTTGTAGTTGGAGAACACATCTTAATTCATTTAAATTTGTTGAGATTTGGTTTATGGCCCCAAATATGATCTGTCTTGATATTTGTTTCATGAATGTGTTTGTATTTGTTAGGTAAAGTGTTTTATAAATGTCACTTAGATCCTGACGGTTAATGGTGTTTTTCCCATTATAGTTGTACACAATGATGTGATTTTTTGTTATATAATCAGTCCCAGTACTTCCCTTTCCTCCCTGCCTCCCACCCTTTGGTCCCTTTCCTCTACTGATCTCCCTTTGATCTTCAGGATATCCATTTCCACCTTTCTTTTCCTTTTTCTTCTCTAACTTCCACATATGAGAGAAAATCTGACCCTTGACCTTCTGAATTTGACTTATTTCACTTAGCATGATAGTCTCTAGTTCTATCCATTTTCCTGCAAATGCCATAATTTCATTTTTCTTTATAGCTGAAAAAATAAAATTCCATTGTGTATATATACTACATTTTCACCAAATTTTCTTTATCATCAATGGTGTTTTTGAGTTCTTCTGTATCCTCACTCTTTTTAATGACTAGTTGGTAACAGAGGTGTTGAAGGATCTTGGGTAATAGTGAATTTACGACTTCTTTCTGTTTTATCACTTTTTGTTTCACATATTTTGAAGTTCTGCCAATTGGTGAATAAACATTATTGCTAAAATTATTAGAGAATTGGCCCTTTTATCATTATGTACAATCTCGCTCTGTCTATGGTAATTTTCTTTGCTCTGAAGTTTACTTTATCTGATAATAATGTACCTTCTTTTACTGTCTTTTGATTAATGTTGCATGGTATGTACTTTTTCATCTTTTTATTTTCAGTCTGCCCTTTGTATTTTAGAATGAGTTTCATGTAGATAATATGTAGTTGAGCAGAGTTTTTAAATCCCCTCTGCTAATCTCTGTTTT